CATCCCTGCTTCTTAAAACATCTCCTTGACAAATTGGTGTTTAAACTTCTTCTCATTAAATGAACACAAATACAGTATTATTGGTTGGGTTCTGGTTCTTTTTAAACCTGTGTCTGCTTTCTAGTTTTTTCTACCCATGTTTGCAAGAGCTAAACAGACACAGTAGATCTCACAGCCGACATAAGGCTGGGGAGGCACCAGGTCATATTTAGGTTCAGGCCCCAGTGGCACCCAGTTGGCACCGGGAGAGATCTGACCTTCACGTTGATGTGTTCAAAGCCAGTTATTTCACCCTGGAGCTCAGGGAAGCACGAACTCCTCGGCTGAGAGCCTTCCTCTTCCAGTGTCGACGCTGTGGGAGCTCAGGGCCTCCCCGGAGGTCTGCTGCCTTTAGCACCGTCCCTTAGGGCAGCCACTGGGGTGCCAGGCCGGTAGGCACATGCCAGGAGGGTGTCCTGCTGGGCAAGGCCACCAAGAGCCCTTGGGATGGCGCCACAGCCGTTTACTCATCCTAAGTAGAAGGGTTGTCCTCAGGGAGGTAAAGTAGGAAGTCTGCTCCTCACGTCTCCACTTCCGTGCCCACCAGACTGCCTTCTCCCCCTCGGGTTCAACTCCCTCCTCTCCTTCTCTAATCACTGTGGAACTTTAATTTTCCATAAATAGTAATCACTCAAAAGGTTCCCCTTGCCAATGGGGTTGGTATTTTCCAAATACCAAAGCCTTGATCTAAAGGGTGAGAGTCAGGTTTCGGGGTTATGAGAGAGGGGAGGGAGATAGAAACATCAGTGATTTCAGAGAGGAAGGGAGAGGGGAGGGAGAGAGAAACATCAATGATGAGAGTGAATCATTGATCGGCTGCCTCCTGCACACCCCACACTGGGGATCAACCCGGGCATGTGCCCTGAGAATCGAACCATGACCTCCTGGTTCCTAGGTCCACACTCAACCACTGAGCCACGCCAGCCGGGCTCTGAGAGCCTCTTAAAGAAAATTGGGGTGAAGGGGAGGGGCCTGAAATCATCCCAGGTGGATTAAAGTTTGAGAGGCATGAAACTATAGACAATACTTAAACAATACTTCCTGATTGCCGATCTAGTTTTGGAGG